TACCAGCAACAACCTCTTAATTGCCTCCAGAACGTCTGCCCAAGAGATGTTTGTGTACATTGAGATTATGTCAAAACTCACCGAGACTCCGTCCATCTCCAAAGGAAGTCCTCCATCCTTGATGGCAAAGCCGTACGAATTTCTAATGTGGGTGCTTAATTTCCTCGTGAGCGGTTTTAGTATACCAGCTAATAGCCAGCTAAGTATACCAGCCAACAGAGATTTGGCTTGACTTAGCTGATTGGTTCTTCTTCCGCCCTAAATCTCGACCAACCTCGGAACCTAGTCACTTGGCCTGCCGAAGCTTTTGTGTCAAAACCAAAACGTTATCTAGCAATAAATCTACCGATTGTCACCAAACTTTTTCGAAAACGATGACTACCCAGTCGGTTCTAAGTATTCTTCACCTTATTGAAAATGCTATTTTGGTTCCAAACATTGGAAATTTTGGTTAATTTACAAATCGGCATGGCAGGTGCAATTTGCACAAGCCTAAAGGCTGTTGAGGCACAGCTCCATTTAATGCTCACAATTAGGCGCGTTACGAAAAAACAGCTGTACAATGTTGATCACAACCACAATCATCCGGATATGTGCAAATTGTGAACGCATATGCTCGAGCAGAATCCGACTTACCGGTCACACTCACTCAATCAAACCCAACACAGAGACGTCAGTGAATCACTTATCCATCATCCGTCGAAAGTGAGTCTGCTCCGATTTCGAACCGATACTTACCAGACTATAATATAGTACCACAGGATAACAGTGTCAGGAGTTACCTGACCTCTAGCATGTTGACTAGTTACTAATTCCTAGCTAAATGTCACGGTAACGAGCATCCCTGTGATCAATTTTATTGCTATTTATCTGTGTGTTATCCAGTTTGAACCTGGAGAAGCTCATGAACGAGGCTGATGCCTCTATGTAAAAGAGATGATGCTCACGGTGATGTCATCACGCTTTGGTAAGTCTGTGTTCAATATGTATCACTATGAATCTATTGGACAAAAAATCCAACTTCACAGCCTCATCAGTACTTGAAAGACCTTCAAAAGAACTAGGAAGGTGTGTGCAGAAAGAAGCCGAAATGACGTTATAGACTACATGCGTGTGCCACTCAAATAGCTGTTCACTAAGCCCATAAGAAAGTCCAGTGGTTCATTCGCAAGCCCAGTCTACATCTGACCCTTCCAGTTGGAAGATTATCTGGTTTTTCAGGCCAATGCGACGTTTGTATATTACTTTGCATGCTGCCATGGGATTAGCTTTGCTTTTCTGTTGAGTTGGATGTTGCATATGTGAACGTCCGAACGCGAAAAATTGCGAATCAAGCAAGGTGTTGCATGGCTTAAGAACAGTTTGTTTGTGGTTTGTCCAGTAGGTAAAGCTGCTTACTGAAATCACTCAAGGAATCACTTCAAATCTGCAGAGACTGGGAAGAACCTTGTTGCTTGATGAAGCCCTCAAGGTCCAGAATCCTCCATTTAGGAACATTTTGTCCAGAAGCTGCCCATATCCTGACCTAGCCACAACAGTACATGACATACCAACAAAAGAAAGTGGTAAAAGTGAACACTCTCGGTGAGCCCTAGTCGGCGTAATTCCGTCGTTCACTCCGTGTTACGTTCATCTGTCCTTTGTTTTATGTTTTCGACCCAATCTCCTCTTCGAAAATGTGTCAGTGGATTTACCATAACCAATGTATCCAGACGAGCCAAGGTTTGTTTCAAATCAGCTAGAGAGAGTATTCTAGTCAGCCTTCACTCTGTGTAAGTCGCAAATACATAATTCAGTAATTATATTTTGCAATCAGACTGTGCAATTGACAACACTGAAGAGTCCAAAGACAACAACACAAAATATGTGGTCCCAAGGTAACTTACCACTGCAACCAATCTGTTTCAGTGTGTAAAATGAAACCAGGTAAACTTTGTGTCGCAGCAAATTGAAAAAAGGTAGTATGCTTTTCAATCCTTGCATTTATCCAAAAGTGGAAATTAGCTTCAACCTGGTAAGTAGTAAGCTAAGTAGTTCTACGTTCATGAAAATGAGATGACGATCAGTGCAACTGGTTTGCTGTCGTGGATTTTTGTCAACTAGCAATAAGGCTATAGCGAGGGTAGTTCTCTCATTCAAACAAACATTGCTAGCGCTTTCTTGAAGGTCTTAACAAGCATGAGAAATGCCAGAATAGGGACGTCACAGTCACGTGTCAAGGCTGGCTCTCAATTCAACTTACTTCACTTTGAACAGATCATAGATAGTTTCAAATGATGACTCCATGATACTTCTTGCTAATTCTTGTCGTGGTGTAGAAGATGGCGATCGACAATCTATCGGAGATACTGGTCGGTCAAATGTCTGGTGTCCGGAAACTGGTCGTTTTGGGACTCGAGACCTGAAGTCCTCTGAATGAGGTGAGTCTACGTCCAGTGACTCAATCATCTGCATTTACAAACAAAATACTGATAAGGACTTGAAAACAACAAAACCGCGTCAATCTTTGGAAGTTGGAAAAATAACAAAGAAGTACGTTTTACTTTCTGGTGGAATGATTTGAACTGGTTGTGAGAACTGTGACTGGCACAAAGTCCAAACTGCGCAAGCTAGACATCCAAAACAGGCGTTCATGAGCTGCGTACTTCTGGGGTGAGGTATTCGGGTCGCATTCTTAACGAGTACGTTCTAGCGTATTGCTCTGTTTGAGAGTCTTGTAGAAAGCAGAAACAAAGGATTTTGCGAATAGTCTTGGTGATGTTTGCGGGATCCGCTTTCCAAGGTCGAGCTCATATGACCCTGCTTATGCTTGGATGAAAATACTGAGAAATGAGGCCTCAGAAGAGCTTATATTGTCAGTCACCATCCAGGTTGACTCACTGGCACCAAAGATGGAGAATCATTAGACAGCTATCTCTCTCAAGTATTTGCTCTTTTTACTTTATTTATCTTTTTTACTTACTTTACTTACTATGGTTTATTTTTAAAGACAGTGGGCAAAGACATAAAAAGTAAATCTATGCGTTAGATGTAGAAGGATGTTCAGGGGAAAATTAGATAAAACGAGAGATAAAACGAGAGAGGCGTCTCATTCAAAGTCGTGCTACCAGCAGTTTTAGTCGGACAGGATGAATACTTAAGTACGTAAGAATGTTTGATAAGGAAACAAGCGAGTAAAGACCAGCAACTGAAGGAGGGATAATTAACGCCAAATGCTCTTTAAGGCAGCACAGTTAGGATTGTATGGATATAGAGAACAGATGTTCAACATCTATGTCGTTTTGCGTGATTACATCGATAACTTTGACCTTAACTGGCTTTTCAAACTACTCAACGTCTTCTCAGGCTGTCTTTAATCCCATACCACTTGGTTTGGAAGCTCAAAACAATTGGGATCACTTTGTGAAGAACTGCTATCCAATTAGGGTCATATTTATTGATGATTTCCTACTGTGAAGAATAAGCGTAGCGGATACGCTCAAGTTTTAGATAATGCGCATTTCATGGAGCGAAGTCCAAGATTGATGCGAAAGTTACGCCCTTTTTGAAGATCCCTACAGCGCAAAGTACAAAGAAGCAATGGTTTATCGCGTCTTCGTTCGGGATCCATTGAACAGTACATAGTACGATTTCACCCTTTATTTACTTACTGATTTGTTTAATTTGATCTGCTCGAGATAGATCGCTGGTTATGGCACACAAGTTACTGACCGGCGGGTCCGTAGTTCGAATCCAACTCAAGCATCTCAACTGCTCCTATCTAGGACTGGGAAATCTGACAGTAGCTCAGCCCTCTTACCTCCGAGTGTCATTGTAGCTAGGCAGCGAAGCGGGGTTGCAATTGATCAAATACGCTAATGGGAAGTCTTGATTTTAAAGAACGGCTCCATATGTTTGACCACGTGGTCTTTGTAGTACCTGCTTACCGTGACTGGCGCTGGAACTACTGGCATAAATCTACGACCCCTGTCTTATATTCTGTACGGAAAACCAAGGTAACAAGGCTCTAATGTCAGATCACTTGAACAGCTGTCTTTATTCCATTCTTCCTAGCAACACTGAATTAGCTGTTAGCATCCGAAACATGGGTGCAGTTAACGCGTGGTTTGTGCGAAATTCGCGGTAGTTGGATGATAGGGGCCGGTAGAAGAGAGGCACCCGTTAATGACAAAAAATCCATAAATAGGGAATCACTATTGCTAGCAAAAAGATACAATTTTTGCGGTACTGCGCAACTAATTTACACTTATCTCTGTGAACCACATACGGCGTGATTTCCGGAGCCTTAAACTGATCGCTCTGTTCGCAAAGAATAAGACTCCACTAATAATGCCGAATGTTCTCGTCTTCAGGTTATCAATTAAATCTCGCTTTGGATGGTTCTGATTGGCACTTCTAATGTACTCCGTCCCAAATCATCCGATTACGTGGCTCGATCAAGTGTTCACAGTAACGTGTCGTGTAAAGCCAGACACATTTGATGCAGTTCGCTGATACCGATGTAAGAACACAGAGCGAAGCGACGCAGCATGACACAATAATCCTCACCGTTCTCTTGAATGGTAATTCCCCTAAAATAAACCCCCCTCCGAAGGGAAGCAACTACCCCAAGGAGTTCATGAGAGTGTCTCTCGTCAGGCAATACTTAGTGCCAAAATTTTCACAATTGCCCGAATTTAGGCCACATCACGCCGTTTTTTCCTAAGTATTCAACAGAATAGTTGTACTTGTGTTTTCTTTAGTGTAGAGGTGTAAATCTTTGGGCTGTTTCGTTAAACTATTCTGTATTATTGTCAAGTGGTTGACGTATCAAAGTGATAAAAGTCGACTAATGTTGTAATCCGGGGAAACCTTCACTCCAAACGTGACGTTTTCATGTTTATTCATCAACTGATGAGGGACAAACGTCGTTGTTACGGAGAACCACAGTGTTAAGGCGAAAATGTCCTCCATAGTTAAAAGCGACAGTATTCATAATACGGCCTCAATACAAGACTCACTTTATGCATCTGTTGCGCGTCGACAGCCGTTCCCACCTTAGAAGCTTTTGGGGTAGATGTTTGCGTGGGAGTATCCCATGAGCCGAAAGAGTTTGCAGAATCTTTACCTTGGCGTTTGTCAATCGTTTCGTGAGGCTTCCAAGTTCGTTTCTGAATGCCCTTGAGTTGAGCAATAATACGATACAGAATGATACCTACTTGCTCAGTAGTAATTCTGCGAGGCGTCTCATTTGAAAAAGACACACCGACTTCACTTCTCTGGGTGCTGGAGCTGTGAAAAGCGTTGTGTCGGAATTCGAGGAATGCTTACCCACAATGGTCCTGCTTTAATTGGATGTGGATGTTCACAGTTGAATCACTTCCCAAATAGAAATCATCCATGCCCACATGCATAGACTCTGTGGTAATAAAACATAAAACCTCAAAGTTGTAGGTTTATTGTACCGGAGTGTAAACAAAATGTATATTCCTTTGATAAAACGCTAAAAACTATTATCTGAGCTTATTTCACGATTTAGTACTCGACTTGATCTTTCCAACATAGCATCCGATATTAATTTTACTTGATCGGCTTTGCACGCTAATGTAGACGTCTAAGAAAGGGATGCTATTGGTATTCCTCTAAGGGGACCATCAGCAAGCTAATGGACATTGCCACCTCCTTCAAGTAGTTATTTCAAAGTGCTTGGGAAATTTGAATGTAAATAGCTGTCACTAATTTCCGCGTTAGAGATGCATTCAGAGTTACTTCCAAACTCCTTCACTCATTGTTGAAGATCTTTAGTTTAATACATCTGACGGCAACCTCCTGGATGATTTGTTCAAAATTCAGAAAATTAAAATACCCCTATCACTATCACAGTCTGGTTGATTATTCTTAGTTATTATTCTTTATTGGGAGTGTTTTTCATCACCTCATATCTGTTTGTACTTTAACTAGGGGCGGTAACGTGATGGAGACTCCCCACTATGCTATCAGAATGAGGGTATATGGTCTTAATTTACGGCTATTTTCTCTCAAAATACTAACCCATTTCACTACCGCCTCTTCAAAGAATAAGTGCACATCGTTTTCACTGACACTCACTTCCTTTAACTTCACAACAGCTACAAACCCAGTGAGTTGGGGGTATTACAGATTTTTAAAGTGTGCCGGTCAGAACTTTTCTTGACATGAGAAGCGCAGTTTAGTCAGCTCGATACCTACCTTCAGGCGGTGAGCAGAGGCTGATACTTTATGTGGCAGGAGCGAATCACTACGCTATCCTGGTGAACTACCCCATCGTACTGCTTACTTGTGGCAGCCAGTGACAAACACAGCTATATAGATGTTCGATTAAACGCATCCTAATTTTGCCATTGTTATTATTGTTATTAGCAGGTAGGTAGAGTGAGTATTTCGCCAAGAGAAATATGCAGTTGACGGACCTCGCTATTTCAGACTGCAAACCAAAACCAGTTGAAAGTCAATTCGCATCGACTTGACGGAAAGATAAAAAAGTATAATCCGGACACATGTTTTGCAGGCTTATGGCATTGAGGCGTTGCTTAATGCTCACCAGCTTGGATGTTGCTCCGGAATGCTCTAAAAAATGCCGGTTTTCCATTTTCGGTATTTTTAGTCTGCCTTTTCGAGACACAAATCTATGGTATCTGATTCCTTGTGGTGTTGATATTGGTCATTTGTTGGGAGAATCGAATGCATTCCATCAGCCGATGAAAGAATTATGATAGTAAATCATTGTGCAATTGTTTCAGGGCGCACCACTGTCTCTGTTTTGTCAGCATGTTGTACGTATTTTTATCAGTTGGTGCTAGGGTTATTCAGAAAAACAATCCCGTTTATTGCCTGTTCTGTCATTCTGTATGTCATTTTCATGAAATAGAAGAGATTAGAAGCAAATGAGGATTTCTGCTGGGCAACTGATCAGCTAAATACTCAGATGGCTCGGACCCGATCTGTAGATTAACAGCCCAGGAATGCACAGGGGACTGATTAGGTCAATTGGCAAATATAACGAAAAGACGGGAAAATCGCAACAACCCAGATCAACACACCAGTTTGCAAGCAAATTTGGTTTTCACGGGAGATGATGTTCTTCAACTGAATGTGCCGCACACAGGCCGCCTCATGTTTCAGTTGATGTGCCGCACACTCAGTAAGAGAGCATAATCAACTAGAGATTTACTTGCGTCTCTCGTGAAAAACCAAATTGATTTGAAAATGAGTGTATTCGTCGAAATCGGTTTAATTTGGGGTCAAGTAGGACATAAAGTTGACAGAAACTCAGGGACTGAGCCTACCTGACGAGCATCAGGTAGGGCGAAATCGATCGTGGGGTGTCGAAGGGTTTTCCGCAACCTTGTGAGTAATTTCCTTCATAGAAACCAAGATGAACTTCTAGATCCAACAAACCTACGCATCATATATAACTGTAAACTGTCCTGTGCGCGAGACCTGAAACATATTAGTCTGAAGATCGATCGGAGAAAACAGGCCTTAATAGTAATTAAGATAATATACTGGTAAAGTACGGCTCTCCAATGTATGCCCCGCAATAACTACGGAAAATACAGCATTGCCGTTATTAGTAGTAGGCAGGAAACAAAATGTGCTACGTATTGACTAAGCCTAAGTGGACAGCAGTCCTTTTGTAACCGTCACCTTATTTTCATGCCGTAACTCACACTCGAACCAATATACCTCCAAGTGTGCCTTAGGATCCCTTTAAAACTCCATCATTCACTATATTTTCCTTCCTAGGCAATCCCCTCTTTGGTTTAAAACTCAACGACCCTCTGTGGAAGGAGTGAGTATTTAGAAGTAACCCCTCGACTATTAACTGACGGTCAGCTGAACGGTTTGAATTAACCCATGCACCTATTACCTTTCGACCCAGAAGAACCGGAAGAACGGGAAGCATAACAAAACAAGTCTTAAAAGTGGAATGGTGGAAAGTTGGCTGTCCCATGACCATAAGGTCAGTACGAGTTCTCAGCAATCGCCTACAAATTAATTCGGGAGCATGATTCTTTAGTACACATCTTTCATTTCGAGTTGGAGTCTTCCAATAAACAAGCAAGTTTAAGGTCAGTGAAGGGGTCTTTATGGCTGTTCCTTAAGGAGGTTCAGCCCAGTCGTTTCAGGAAGCTCCCTGCAACAGCATTTTGTCTGCGTCCCTAAATTAGTGATGTCCAATAGGGTATACCGACTTGGTGGGACCTCAGTCCCGATTGTACCCAGTGTTCTGCTCATTTCTTGCGGTTTTCCCTTGGAAGCAGCCGAACTAATCCAATGCAGTCCTAAGTCAGGCAGGGATATTCTTACCTCTGACAACCAGACCTGGATGGTGGGCCATCTCCCACACGAAATCGGTGTTCTACATCACAAAGAGATTATACTGCTAACAACAGTGACTACCAGACCCCAGACGCTTCTCCCTGGATAGTCTGTACGAATTTCTTACGGCTGATTGGGGTGGAACAGGTTTTCTTCTCTCCGTGATAGGAAACTCCATCGCGCTTCATTTATCTCCCCAGTTCATTTGTTTGTGAAGAACATTTTATTGAACAAAGTTAAGTAAAACCAAAAAACACAAGATTCATCCGAGGCTCGTTTTAAGCTCGCTATTGCATCAGTCAAACACACAAACTAGGCGAAAACGATACGTGAACAGATTGGAGTTCGGGTAAGATCGAGGATTTATTAAAGCTCCTAGTTAAAAGTACATGATGATTCCAAAAGAGACAAAGGCGGTAGTAAGCTATCGGACCATTTTGTTATATTTCTTACAAAGATTTGTGAACTCCAATTTTAGCCTACAACAGACACACAGGACGTACTAAATCTGAAGAAACGTTTAGAAATGTTACGGCCACGGCCCCCATAAATCCATTCTCTGTAACAGTATGACAAACAATTCAACGGGAAAGCGGATTGAACAGTTTTTGACGACAACACACAGTTCGTGTTCATTTGCGTAATTTGAAACCCAGTTAATTTCTAGCTGACACAGCCAAAGGCTGCCATCTGTCTATAGAATTTATCGTTTGCCTATGGCTAAAACTCGAACGGTTCACTTGTGAGTACAGTCCTCATGATCACCAATGGTCCAATGTCGCGATTAGATGGGTCATTTAAGAGAGAGCTTTGCGCTCCAAGTATGGTGGCTCGTAAATTCCAGCCAAAATGTTTATACTAGTCCCCTTGGCATTATTGGCGATTTTATTCCTTGATGGGAATGCATTACCAACTTACCACCCAAATCATCCTGATTGGACAGCATGGATTCCGGCGGACGATTCAAACTACGGTGTTGGTGAATTCTGCTCGAGCAAATGCCACATTGTCTGTCTAGTTTATTGAGAGGAATTTCAACTAATTCTTTAGAAGGGAAGATTTTCCTGCCCGGTACGATCGGTTCTGTGATACACATGTTCGAAGTACCAACACCTTGGAGATTCCTGTTACACGTGGAGTTCGAAGGAAACGCATTTGCACACAAACTGGCCTGTAAAATAAACAACAGTGATCCTGCATGTCGTTACCATTTTAACCTATGTTGTTCATAGGACCCATAAGTCAAAACACAAGTTTTACGTTCGTCTGAACAATTAAACACTGGAATAATAAGGAAAAACACTGACACTTATTCCAAAAAAGTACCATTTTTGAGAAGGCCAAAACGGCTTTTCCCCCTTCTATAGGACAGGCGGTAACGCTAATTTATATGTAGAATGAAATAATAGCCACTGAAGGTAGAGAAGGGAAAAACCGCCGATAACTTGGAACCTTTGCCAACGTCCATTTGGGACACCTGACTAGTACTGCTGAAAGGCAGTACTCGAGAAGCCGTACCTGGGAGACGAAACAAATCTTTGTTCATGAACATGGTCATTTTTTGGATTCTTTACTGTATATGTAGCCAGCAAGAGAGCTTTTATTGCTCAGCTCTTCTTGAGAATGGTGGACAGTCGGCCAAGAACCAAGTAACAAACCTTGAGCTTTATAATCAATGAGCTAGGTTTGTTGGAAGCCACTATTCGTACATATGGAGACCTGGTATGGGGTGCTTAAGGTATCGGTAACACTGAATGTCAACTTGAGAATGTCTCTAACGGCACACACGCATCAAATACATTATCATACCATCCACCAGCAGAAGTGTAGAGTCTGCTTTCTTCGCACTTAGTAGATGGCACCCACTCTGAGGTTGCACAAGTAATTGCCTGAAATACACTGCCAGCCAGGTTATGTCCACCTAAACTTTGAAATTAGGTTAGATGTAACCAAAGATTTGACTAGTGCATCTTGGTTGCTAGTTGACTATAGACGTACTGAGGAAGTCTCCTTGATCGGTGATGAGAATTTGGCAAAACAGCTATCTAACACGGCAGATCAGAAACAAATAAACCCACCGGGTCGGTTAATATTTCAGCCCTGCTAGTAAACAAACTGGCTGAGAGTGACAGGATTTGGAGCACTCAATCCTGTGGGACAAATAATCAAATATGGGCTAGGTGATGATGGAATAACAGATGAAATCCAACGGAATGGACAACTGCAGCCCTCAGTGGTAACCATGCACCTAGAGGACAGGTTTCATTTAGTTCAGTCCTATTTCACTTAGCTTTTATATTTCCCATGTGTATTAAAGGCATATTAGATGGGAAACCATTTGGCAAACGCAATATACTACTCATAATATGGCAATATACTACGAGTAAGTTTGCCAAGAATTTTTCGGTTTCGCCGGTCTCGCGTTTCTCGGGGCTCATAAACTAGGCGCAGTCTCCCGATTGCCGTCAACTCTATATTCTACTTGAGCCCATTTGACTGGATTACAAATCGTCAGCTTGAAAATTATGGGCACAGATGGAATACAGTGACACTATGGCTCGATTCCTCATTTTCGGGAATAAACTAACATCGGCTGTTGAACGGAGAGAAGTTTCATGCAGTGAATGGCGGAGAAAAATGCATGGTAAAATATACAGATAGTAATGCAACGTAGAAAGTCTGCCTCAAGCCGCACTGTTGACGGTAGCTCCGTCATGTACGCATATCCATGACAGTAATCCACCTCACTGATGAACGACGGACAGTTAGTAAAAATGAGTGGTTTTGGATATATACATATATATATACATTTGTATGCATATATATATGTATATATGGTGATTAAAACCCCCGGAGATTTTTGCGGTCACGTCTCTTCAGTGTTTCTTGTGTGTATAAAAAGTATGGGGAGATAGGCAAATTTACCGTTTTGGTTGCTGGTTCGAAATACAGCTGGGGTCTATTTACGGTTGTCTGATTTCCTTGAATATGATCGTAATTCAGCGCATCCAAAAAGGCTTCAAAACGGCTGATTCTGCAAGGCAAGGTGAATTACAAATGAAGGTTGCCCTGTGTCTCAAAATAATCTGAGTAAAAGCTATTAACTGACTGTTTAGTCTTCAGACGATCAGTTAGTTTGTTTTTATTTTTTTTCGTTACAGTGTATTGGAGTTTGATAGTTGTATGTGTCAGCTGGCTGTGGAACTGTTCAGGATGGTTTCCCAAGTAGTTTGTGATGAAATTTGTCCATGAAGAGACGACATACTAATCCAACCTTTGTTTTAAGTATGATTTTATCATTTTTCAGTGATATCTTAAGCAGTGCATTGAACTGTGTGTTTGGCTTAATCACTTTCATTTGGCCTCCAAAGTTTAATCACAGCTTACTTCTGACAGATAACGATTCTTTTTCGGGAGGTTTAAAATATCTTGGTCAACTAACTAGCACCCGATCAAGTTCGTATGGGGAAACAGAAGCACTTCGCTGAGCATGGGGGACCTGTATCTTTCACACGGCGTAGGATTCCACGAATGTAGAATCGAAGAGAAGTTTTACAGTCAAAAGCAAGGACTGATGAATCAATAACGAAGATTTTCAGAGAATACACCCTTCTTCATGATCCTTCAGTACATTAGTGGGTATCTTTCGTTCTATTAATTAAATATGAAAACGTTTCCGAGTGTTCATCGGCATGATTTGAGTAGACCTGGACCCACAGGATCGTACTTATCACAGGCGATGGACCATTGTGCCTTTTGTGCTTTATAGTTCATCGGTTTTCATTGGCTTGATAAGAAGCCATACCCCATTATCAGATTGCCTACCTAGTCAACCTCTAGTGTGCGACGAACCATATGCCTACAATTTGTCTGGTATGTGACAGCAGTTTTGTGTGGTTTACAGTGTAAAACATGCTAATTTCCTATCACACAAGATAAGAAACAAATAAAAAAATTAGCTGGAGTATTTCCTGTCCTGTTTGTGGGTTGTACTCACACTTCTCTTTGCTTGCACAGTGCAACGCCAAAAACCAAGTTTACGTGGCTGAGGATTGTCGTTAAAAGTGGCTCAAAGTGTGCATTTAAAAATAACGTTTTTCAAAAATATAATATCCTTTTAGTCAAACGAAGACCCGACCAACAATTTAGTCCAATTTTCTTTCAAAAGCTGTGCTAGTATTGATTCTCAGAACAAAAGCATTAAGCCTGAAAGGTATGTTTATTTTCAAATGAAGGGAACCGTTGACAGACTCAAACAACAAATTTAATTCTACAGCCTTCACCTTTTACAAGCGAAGTCTGCATTTTACTGGTAACCGTGATCCTACCATACACCACACCCATTCATGATGTTAGACACCAAATTTTCTGTGGACTGACCGTCCAAAGATGACGCAAAAAGAACAACTGGTTCTCCCATTATGGAAACCGTCCCTAACTGCGGGTGGTGTGGAATTTTACTGTGTGCTTCGGAATGGAGTACCGCCTCTTACAAGGGATCTTGCTGAGAAAAGCCAGAGAGAAAAATCTAATACCCAGCTTGCGGTGTAGATCTTGCGCTTCGTGGAATTATGCCTAAAATGCAATTGCTCGTAGTACAGATGACGGAAATGGTGGATAGAATCGAAACGGATGTGGACAAAAATAAGATGGTCCATGCCTTCAGCTGTCTTACAAATAAACGGCGGGTTAGGTTTATCTTTTATTTGGGGTTTCAAGTTATGCGAATTTTTGAGACCAGCATAAATGATGGCCCACATGGCATGATTATGCGAGGTGATCACGATTTTTCAAGGGGATTTTTATAATTCGGCAACCAGGCTGGCTACTGTAGGGCTTCTACGTTACCCCATTTTACCAGTGTTCGTGCAGCAAAATCAACCAACGTTGGTACCTACTCCAACAGATCGCTAAATCAGCTCATCTGTTGCGTCACAACAAAACGTAGAGCCCCTAGATTGACCCGGACTTAATCAGTATTTGAAACACACTAGAAAACGGTCAAAAAATATAGCATATCATCACCTACAACAGTGTTGACGGCCAACCGGATCACTAGGGAGATCGTTGTGACCGAAGTGGATATTTAGTTATCCCTACCAAGTAGCGGGTCAACTTCTTTACATCTCACAATTTCAGTTGGTAGCTGACTTGCATGGCTTGCCAAAGTGAAAAAATGAAGTGACATTGTGTTTGCTTAGAACCGATGTTGAACGCTCCACAAATAAATTAATTTTCAAAGTCTTTCATGCATTTCGCGTCTATATCGGCTAGATGTTTAGCTACAATATTAGATAGTAGCAGACAGATAAGATTGGAAAATTGGGCCTTGGATTTTGGGGATAAAAGCCCGTTATTAAAGTTGAAAAGAAACCAAAGATTATTTTCCCGAATTTTTAGCAAAAGCTTCCAAATAATCCACTTCCACTAATATTTTTCCACTTGCTTAATTTTCCCGCAAAAACAAAGTTAAATCTCCTTTGCATGAAACTTTTTGTAAGGCTAAAAAACACTCAGCTTCTTTGCAGGAAAGATATAAAACCGGTTTTGAACTCTTCAAGTATGAAAATAACACAGTAAAAAATGGGGGCCTGTCAAGAAAAACACGACAATATTTGAAATATCGCACCGGACCAAACCTCAGGTGATCTTGCATCATGTTTAGATAGAGATAATTTCAAACGAGAGGTTCAGTGGCATTCAATTCAATCTCCCGTTAGTGCCAAGTTTGTTTTCAGAAAGATGTAAGCATCAATGTAAAGTACTCATTAAACTGTCCGGCAAGCAAAAAACCGGCAAGCAAAAAACCGGCAAGCAATTTCTCCTTAGTGCGACATGCGCTCACAACAATGGTAATGAACTTGGAGATTCTGATTGACTTTTAGTCAATCAGCTACCAGCTTCTCGTTTTCACAAATTGGCTAGCAACGATTATAGCCCGCAGTCGATTTCCTAAGGTATGTGTGGGGTGTCTAACCAGTCTGTGCATAAATGAGCGTCGTGTAGAGAGCGGCTCCGTTTGATCAGATATAAGCTTTAAAAGGCAGATTATTTGGAAAATAAAAAAATCGTTGAATCCGGAGCTTAATTAGCCCGACGTGGATTCAGTCACAGAGGGTTGATCTTGTGTGAAGGGACATTATATTGCAAATATCACAAAGAAGGCTTAACGTTTGACAGATCAACCTGTGTATTACAACGGTGCCTTCATCGGGGAGATGCACGTATATTATTGTTGCTTGGCAGAAACATATGCTGGATGTATCAACGCAACTATGATACAACAGCGGTTAAACATTGCTTGACTTTCCGCTTCTAGGGTTCTATACCAAACATATGGTTTTAGACGAGCAACAAGAGGATGAACTAAACGCATATCAGTAATGTTTACATAGCCTACCTGGATAACAGAGCAGAATTTTCACGTTCAAGCTGGTCCAAAACCATGCATCGTGAAGACAATTCCGAGTGAACCATGTTATAAATATTCTGTTGTTGTATCTTTGTACCGCTTAACTTACTTGGAAAATATTTGTGCAGCTCATAGTCAATCCTGTTTATTTCAAAAGTTCTTCCATGCCAGACAGGAAAATGACGGCAACTCATAAGTGTGTTCGGATATCTTGAAAGATATTACGTGCTTAAACGATAATGAAAACAAAAGCATTATTTAGTATTTTAATTCTAAGCCACAGAAGTAGGCGCGCTTTCCAATTCATTCGGTCCCGTGACCTTAAGCAGTGAGTTGATAAAAAGACGCCTCAATGCACAGAAAAACTAGGGTCCTGGTTATAGCTAGGTACACCTCCATGAAGGACCACTTTCTCCTAGGAATCAGGTAAGGAAAAGAACGAAATAGCACGACAGTAAAACAACGGCACAAAAAGACGTTAAGGCGCTAAGGTGAATCCTGTCGGATTATCTCTAGCGCGCATTACCCACCAGAAAAATGACAAACAGACGTAGCAAAATATTGATTGCCTAAATGAAGCATGGGCGCCAATACTTGGTTACTGGGTCAGCTGAACTGAAAATAGCCAGCAATCTCATAGACTGTGTCTTGAGGTCCCAGTAAATAAGCAAGCTGAGTGAAAAAATCATATGAAAAAGGAAAGCCATCTTGCCCCTATTTTTGTAAGAAGAAAAGGTCTAATTTACTGACTGCACAAGCTGTTCTACAAGCTCCAGTTGCCTTGTCACTTGTTGCACATGAAAGTTATATTTCACTAAGAACATTACTTCTGCACTGCATTTAGGACACCAAGGCCTGGCTAGAGTAATATGAGGTATAGAGGGCATGCATTCCTATGTAAGGTAGTTCCAAGGAGTATTACGTGGGATGCGTCCTGTCTCGGGCTCTTAGTGTGCCACTACAGAGATGAGTCTATGTGAGGCTTCAACAGTCACCCTCTTGTTTGTTTTCATCATCAAAACCGTTCAACTCTTTACCCCTGTTACCAGTGATAAAGTCAGTATACTGTTATTTGGTGTGCAAAATTATTCTTGTAAGCAACTATCGATGGGTCATTAAAAGCTATGCGACTTTCCAATGATCTTACCGCTTACTTGGTTAAGGCCTTTCTGAGTAATTACAGACTGTGCATGAATGAAAACATGTGCCTTAACTAACTGCTCACGGCTTTTCAAAAGCTTTCGGAGCCAAAGGGATAAGAAAACATCTTCTTTTAAAACTAATACGATGCCATTTTTCCCGTGCAAACGGATGTATTAGTCTTCACAGTTCATTTTCTCCTTAAAAGCATAATTTATGGGGTTCTCAAAAAGGTTTAACTAAACGTTTAGTTTAGTAAGCTGAAGCTTGGTTTATTAAAAGTGTATTTGTTTATACCCAGAACTATGTGGGTCAGTTGGGTTCGTCAATTTTATTGCTCTGCATGGTAAGCAATGAATAGTTACTTCTGTTTTCAAGACTCATAGTTGTGTTCCTTACTTTCAACAGCCAAATCGGCTAACTAAAAAAATTGTCTTGCTCTGAAATCTATAAAAGAGACAGAGAAGGATCTCGCCATAGTTTACGAGAACTTCTATATATATACATATACTGCTAAGAAAATGACTGATCTGTTAGAACTACCTTTTGTTCCCACGTTTTCAACCTACCCAGTCAGCAAATCAAGGAATTGATTACACCTAGAAGATCTCCTCGACAAGAACTGTGTTCATGGGAGTAGTACCAAATGAATTCTACTCGCTTTTGCTGCACGATTCATCCTCAGCGCAGTCAGCCCATCAGTTTAAGGGTTGCTTATCAGCGCTGCATGAATACTGCAGTGCGGGAAATAGCATCCCCAAAGGGAGCCGAAAAATGGATGGTCGTGCAGCTACTCTACTTCGCATCGGAAGTACTGACTCACAAGATAATCGAATACCAAGCAATGCCATCCTAGAAAATTAAGTCTGTAGAATAAGGCGAAACGGATAAACGGCCTCAATATTGTTGTGAAAATTACAGCTTTTACACACTTCGATTATTTGCAAACGCATTCTGATCAGACGAGAGTGATCTGAGCGTGATTTCTGAAAATCTCATAGCTACCTGCAAATAAATGCGTACTCATGTGAGACATGGACCCGAAACGTTCTCTCCTCGACCTGAGTGAAAGTGTTTAGAAAGGGGTGCTGTTGACCACCATCCACATGTCTCAAACTTCTGTTTGCACGGAAACCCGGGTGGTCAATCGATCATGAAATCCATAAAATTACTAGGAGGCGATTGGTTCCCATAGCCATTTTTCAAATCCAGAGTCGGCGACTTGCGGTCTGGACCCGGCAGCTGGTGTATGAATGTTATAGAGGCCTAATGTCAGGATGGTATATAAACTGGTGCCGGGGTACAAATGGTCATTCCTCGCTTGCTCCGCTTGCAGTCCGGGTGCCCACTACATGCAGAATACCGCCGGCACGGTTTCAATGACGGTACGGCCAATTATACCTAAGCCGAGTACCTCATCAACTGGATTGTTGCCAAGTAAGACGGTTTAATGTGATATAATGTCTTTTAGATTCATAGGATGTATCATCGGACGAACTTGACGTAACCACACGGATGATGGAGTACTTCCCTGGCCGTAAGTGTCGTATTTTTGCGGAATTCGAGTCCAAGCTGCGAGAATTCCAATGGGGAACGGGCACATGTTATTCCCGCCGACATAGCTTATCGGCGACTAAGTATGAACATAATGTCGGTAAAGTGCTTCCACCGTCCATCGGTTATGCGTCTATGGTGTACAAGTGTGTACACGCGCGCTCTCACTGGAATGCTGATTTCGAATGCCGATCGTTCATGCGTGTCGTTCACCGTGACGGTCACCTTATAATAATTAGTTTTAATATGCAACACTAGCATGGCATGCATACGCCTGATTGGCAAGTGTATGCTGCGAACCGACGTTTGAATGCCCAGCAGGAGCGCCCTTTGTTTGGATTGTTGTTTACAAAATCAAAATACCGCATATCACCAAGGCCACTGTTTTCGCACGTTGGTACATGAATTGATACACAGAATTGCAAATTTCGACCAGACTTTTCGAGTAGGTTTGGTTCTCGTTTTCCAGCACCTTCTGTTTGCCTGAAAGGCACAAACATAAAGAGGGTGCAGCACTGATCTTCGAGTTCTCCGCGTGGGGCAATAATCTTGCAAACGCGAGAACCCAACTTAAAAGGGGCCTAAAAGTGCTTTTAATTAGGCACTAGATACAGCGTGAGCAGCTCTCAGAGGAAGGTTATTCCACAAACTAACTCCTCTAAATAAGTAAAAACTGTTGCCTAATTAAGCTGTGTTCTCTGGGCTTGAAAATCTTCTGACCATCTCACAGCCGTGTGGTAGTTAGGTAGATGGTTGTTGAACTGTTTGTTCAAAACGGGGGTAAGAAAGAATTAGGTCTCTTTGGAAACCACAACACTCCAGGAGAAATATGCCGGGTACCGCAACAAGCGTTTCATTGTAATCAACGGATTTGAAAACCGTAGCCTGATTTGTAGCACCTCGCTGGACCCGTTCAATAAGCGTTATGTCTTTCTAGCCTCCTGGGCAAGCAACTCGGCTGGCGTATTGAAAAAGTAGTCTGTTGTGCGACTAGTACGTGGGAAGGCATACCGAACTATCCGCAGAACGGCGAATGTACTTTGAGCTGATTTTTCTTAGTGGTTTGAGAAGGGCACCTTTGAGGGTAGCCAGTTTCCTAAATTCTCTTCGCTATCTATCTTCATGAGGTCTTCTGGATAACTTACACCATGATTTAATACCATGCTGAAAGCTTCACGAATCTGTGTGACTCTTTCTTCGGGACACTTGGATGGAGCTGGTCTGACCCCCAACGCTCCCATTGGTCTGCCTTGTGCAAGATTTGACAGATACCCACATGGGGACCCAGTTGGTTAGGGACTCTTCAGAGTCTTGCATTGCCGAGATTAGATGTGCTGATATCGCTGGAGTAGGAGCCACGTTTACTTACGTCTTGCACTTTCAGTTAGGTACACGGAATGAACAATCCCGGCCTTCATACTGCTGAGCTCCGGTTGGAGTCATCCTCAACTGTTCGCTGTAGTGGGACTCATTCAAAAACTAGGAATTGGGATATTCCTTTCCGACCGGACAATCCGGGATGACGCAGAACCACAGTAATTGTCCAGAATGTTCTAGAATAGTTCACAGGTAGCCACAAGCATGAACCTCGGTACTCTCTTTGCTAGTTGGCTTCCCAATTTGCCTCAAATTCTATTATTTCACACCCGGTAGTGAAAACGGCTTGGTGACCGCTGTCATCACAGCGCATTACTCATGATGTCTTACAACATCATCATCAGGTCAGCTGGTGCCACACTGATCTTGAGGACTAAAACAGCACTCAGCAGCGAATGGCAGCGAAGCTTTTAGCATCCCGACCCTTGGACACACACCCCTAGTTACTCTGAAACCGCGGATTGAACGAAGGAAACCTTTTTGCATTTACTGTTATCCACCCGAGTTGTTGTTGAAAGTTGTTTGAACGTCCGCATGGTCCATTATGGCCTCGAGGTTTAATGGCTGCTAGTGCCCTAACGTGGTGCCTCCCTGGAAGCGACCGGGGATTTTCCAGGAACTTAGGCTTCTGTAAGTGTATTCTGTTTGAATCTGAAGTTAATCTGACGATTACGTGAACAATGATTAATTCGATTATCCCATAGTTTCGAACGAACTAATCTGGGCTATTTCTGGTGAGCGGCTTTGGCCAAACGTAGGCCCGCCAGCCACAGGCGTTTGTGCTGTCGTCCCGCATTTCAAGTGGACCCTCCAGCAAGCGGGCGCCTAGCTCTAGCCTGAAATCTTCCACCGTCAAAGCTAATGCCAAGTCAGGTGGAAGCATTTGTTTCAGTCTAGTTGAGTAAAAATTACATGTGTCTGGACGGAAGAATTTCACCTCCGGCTAAGTGGTCACCCCTCGACTCCGGATCCGGAATTCGGAGGTACCTAAATTTATCAGCACTGAGAAGCCTGGAGCACCTTGGTGAGGTTACCACGTATCAGACAATCGTGAAACGAGAATAAAATGATACTTCCTAGTCAATCTTCTTGCACAGTGCCCTTGTATCTGGTTCCAATTTAGTGAGATGTCAAAGACTATTATCGAAGTGCCAATAATAT